GATTATGTTCTCCTTATACTTTGTCCATTTCCGAGATTCTTGATTTTTGCGTAGTGAAGTTTGATATTCTCGGAATCTCAATTCTTGGAAATTTAGATAGCGCCACCTCTTTGCTGATCGTCATGTTCTCCTGATACTTTGCTAGTTTTCGAGATTCCCGATTTTCGCGATTTGAAGTTTGATATTCTCGGAATTCCAATTCTTGGAAATTGTGAAAAATTCTTGGAATTTTAGATAGTGCCACCTCTTTGCTGATCATGTTCTCCTGATACTTTAAATTGTGAGTTTCCGAGATTCCCGATTTTCGCGATTTCAAGTTTGATATTCTCGGAATTCCAATTCTTAAAAATCTTGAAAAATTCTTGGAATTTTAGATAGTGCCACCTCTTTGTTGATCATGTTCTCCTAATACTTTGTCAGTTTCTGAGATTCCCGATTTTCGCGATTTGAAGTTTGATATTCTCGGAATTTCAATTCTTGGAAATCTTGAAAAATACTTGGAAATTTAGATAGTGCCACCTCCTTGCTGATCATGTTCTCGTGATACTTTCTCAGTTTTCGAGATTCTCGATTTTTGCGATTTGAAGTTCGCAATTCTCGGAATTAAAATTCTTGGAAATAGTGATAAATTCTTGGAATTTTAGATAGTGCCACCTCCTTGCTGATCATGTTCTCCTGACCCTAACAGCACAGGGAGATACTGAGAACGATCTGAGATGATCGCAAAAGTATATTGCGATATTCGCAGAATAATCGCATTACGTACTGCGAATGACGAAGTACGTTCTGAGAACGTTCGAATGTCCGCGGTACATCCTCCCACAGTTTATCGCTGCGAATGTCTATAGTACCGGGGTAGTTTCAAGAAAGGATGAAAATGGGAAGGTTTCAGTCGATCACTTTTACACAAATTTTGATTCCATATTTTTATTTTCTTATCAAATATAACAACATACAAATATAAAAACTTATTTTATACATACATACTTATAAGTATATAACATACTTATACATAATATAACATACTTATAAGAACAATACGGACTTTGGTACATAAAAAATTTTATACATACATACTTATAAGAATACGGACTTTGGTACATAAAAAAATTAATTTTAACACTTGTGATTGCTCTCTCTCTCTCTCCCTCTCTCTCTCTCTCTCTCTCTCTCTCTCTTTCATTTCCCTAAGAAAGACCAAATATATGACAAATATTAATTACTATTAAATTAAATTACAAAGAAAACTCAAATATATATAAAACAAAAAAAATTACTTTGTCTTCCTTTATATTCCATATTTGTATTTTCTTATCAAACATAAGAACATACAAATATAAAGAATTATTTTATACATACATATACTTATAAGAACAATACGGACTATGGTACATAAAAAAAATTAATTTTAACACTTGTGATTGTTCTCTCTCTCTCTCTCTCATTTCCCTAAGAAAGACCAAATATATGACAAATATTAAATTAAATTACAAAGAAAACTCAAATATATATAGAACAAAAAAAATAACTGTCTTTCTTAATATAAGAACTTAAAACTTAAATAGTAGTAGTAGTACAATATTCCAGGTTTGTCATTTGTAGAGATAAAAGGAGCAGTAAACCGTTGATGTATTTCCTAAAATATTTATGAAATAAGGTATGCCTTAATTACTGTCACAATTTTAATATACATACAGGCATGCATATGTGCGCATGTATATACCTAGGTTTTGCGATATATCTTAAGCACGTACACATAGGTATATATACATATATATATACACACACACACACACACACACACAGCAGATACTTAAGTGCATATATCGTTAATTATTTTATTAACTTACTCGCTCATTCATTCTCACATGTTGATGTGCACTTTTACACTTTCATTTATCCCCTTCATAATATTATAATAATAATTAACCACACATTCAATCGAGGATGGTTATTTGGGTATTTATTCCTTTTCATATTCTCGAGTGTCCGTCAGGCAGCGTATCTGCTTCTTCGGATACAATAGAAGCTTTAAGATTTCAGTTGAATTCATCATTGCAATCTGTACTTAAAGCTGACCGGACGACTGGTAGTCGAACTTCCACGACGAGGACGCACGCTAACATTATTCGTTAAAGGTGTACGATCGTAACATCCTTTTGGAAACTAATGCTCGTAGAATATGGACATGAAGAGAGAGTTTAGCATCTAGAATGAATAATACAACTAAAATCTTAAACAAAATGAATAGAAACGTATAGTTCTTTAGCGATTGCCGATATCAAACAAGTATTCCGACTGTTCGAGGCGACTTCTCTCGGTGTGTATGTGTATGCGAAGAACGTGTACGAAGAACGTTGGTCACGATGAAGTATGAAGTCCCTTAACGTGTATACAAAATAACAAACTTAATCTTGAAGCAACAGCACGTGAAATAGCTCTCTACTGCACAGTCTCAGCTAGTAAAAACTATATACGGAAGAATTATCCAGCTAGAGCCTCAGTTACAGGAATACTTTCCGAACGAGATAATTTGCTTTTCATATTATCTAGATGAAAGTAAGCCTGTAACTACTTCCAACTATTCAAAATTTCTTCTTCGACCTCTTCGATTCATAATAAACATATTCATAGACAGAAAGAGAGTAAAGAGGGATATTTCTACAATAGTCGTTAGTCGTTTGTTCCTTTCTCGATGGAGTACACGTTACTCAATACAGTACGGTACATACTTAAAAGTTAGATTGTTGCCTTAACATTAAGGTATCTTTAATATTACTTTAACTTGTCAATATTATATCAAAGAGTGAGACGTAATCGTTCGTTCATATAAAAAAGGAAAAAAACAAAATTATTACAGTCAATCGTACCAAAAGTAAGTGTGTGCAATGGTAATACCTTTGATACTCTTGACTGATCGATACTATCCCCGATAAGAAAAATATTAACACTTTCTCAACATTCCGCGTACGCTGGCGAATGAACGCCGATCGCGCTATATATTGAAGACAAAACCAAATTTAGGAAGCAGAATTGACGTGTTTGCCACGGTAATACTCATATTCTCACAAAACACTCGCATACTTTGCATATCTCTCTTCTCTCTATTTATAGAATAGATATAAATTTTTACACCACACGCTCCGCAGATCAATGCGAGCATCCAAGAGTGGTCACTACGTCCTCTCTTTCTCTCCATGAAAGTTACACAAATTTCCCGAATTTAAATCATCCACTGTATTCACAAGCCCGACAATATACAATTTGTACGTCCTTGCAATCTTCTTCGGGGGGGCAACAAAACCTTTATGTTTTTAAATGATTACCAACGGTAAGTTATATACGTAACAACAAAATAAGAACAAGCCACTTTCTGGCTGGCTGGTCTCTCACTTGAATTTCGAAATCCAAAAGTTCAATCAGCCGAAACTCCAAGTTGCCTGGTGTTAGAACATCTCATCCACGTGTGGTTCAGTAAATATGTGAATACAATCATGTTCCCCTTGTCGCATACGCGTACATTACATCACTTCAACTTAAAACTTAAATAACATTGCAATTTTCAAAATAAGAACTTAAAATATAAATAAAAATAATCTTGTACAAAGAAAAAATTTTTAAGAGAAATATTTCTAATATATATAGGGTGAGTCATTTTAATTTATCACCCCTAATAAATTTGGTTTTAATTTGAGAACAAAATGTTTCGGACAAAAGTTGTTCGTTGTTCGGAAGTTGCGAAGTTAATTGACGAGCTAAAATATACGAAACAGACACTGCAGACTTTAAAGGATCAAGATTATTCCAACAAAACTGTTATTGATGAATATAAAAAGTCTACGGAGAAACTTGAAAAACAATTAGCAGTGGCTGCAGAAGAAAAACGAAAGATAGAAGCAACTTTACTGAACTTCAATGCATCTATCGAACAGAAGATTGCAAGCTACAAACGTGAAGTTGATCAATTGGACAAGAATCGATCAATTGCAGAGGCTAATGCTCAACAGTATTCACAGAAACTGAAGGCATCTCAGGAAAAATTAGATAATTATAGAAAATATATGGAAAAGACACTGCAGACTTTAGAGGATCAAGATTATTCGAACAAAACTGTTATTGATGAATATAAAAAGTCTACGGAGAAACTTGAAAAACAATTAGCAGTGGCTGTAGAAGAGAAACGAAAGATAGAAGCAACTTTACTGAACTCCAATGCATCTATCGAACAGAAGATTGCAAGCTACAAACGTGAAGTTGATCAATTGGACAAGAATCGATCAATTGCAGAGGCTAATGCTCAACAGTATTCACAGAAACTGAAGGCATCTCAGGAAAAATTAGATAATTATAGAAAATATATGGAAAAGACACTGCAGACTTTAGAGGATCAAGATTATTCGAACAAAACTGTAATTGATGAATATAAAAAGTCTACGGAGAAATTTGAAAAACAATTAGTAGTGGCTGCAGAAGAAAAACGAAAGATAGAAGCAACTTTACTGAACTCCAATGCATCAATCGAACAGAAGATTGCAAGCTACAAACGTGAAGTTGATCAATTGGAGAAGAATCGATCAATTGCAGAGACTAATGCTCAACAGTATTCACAGAAACTGAAGGCATCTCAGGAAAAATTAGATAATTATAGAAAATATATGGAAAAGACACTGCAGACTTTAGAGGATCAAGATTATTCGAACAAAACTGTTATTGATGAATATATCATATAATAATAAAAATATATATAATTATATAAAATTAAAATTATACATATAATTATATATTTAAAAAATTATATAATTATATTTAAAAATTATATCATATTATATAATTTTTTAATATAATTTTTATCAAACTGTGTTAGCACGAATGTCGTGTATTGAAACTACATTGACGAATTACAAATCTACAGTAATTATAAAAAGTACATGATATACAATAAGATTTTACCACATTTACCGCGCTCTGACAATCGATTATAGTTTTTACCAATCAATAATTGTTCGGCAATTAATTATCGTTGACAGTTCGTGGACTATAAAGTCTTCGGCCCGAGCGAGTTACAGCGAAAGGAAGCATCCAAGTTTTCGCTCAGTCCGGCGAACACAAAATCGCTCCACCCTATTGTATATCATGTAAGTACTTTCTATAATTACTGCAAGTCCTCTGTAATTATCGATCATTGCCTTAATTTTTAATATTTATATTATCACATTTACCGCCAAACGCCATTGTACCGGCGATGAGATATCGCACAATGTAAAGCGAATTATTGTTAGTATGATAAAAAGTCCATGGAGAAACTTGAAAAACAATTAGCAGTGGCTGCAGAAGAGAAACGAAAGATAGAAGCAACTTTACTGAACTCCAATGCATCTATCGAACAGAAGATTGCAAGCTACAAACGTGAAGTTGATCAATTGGAGAAGAATCGATCAATTGCAGAGACTAATGCTCAACAGTATTCACAGAAACTGAAGGCATCTCAGGAAAAATTAGATAATTATAGAAAATATATGGAAAAGACACTGCAGACTTTAGAGGGTCAAGATTATTCGAACAAAACTGTTATTGATGAATATAAAAAGTCTACGGAGAAACTTGAAAAACAATTAGCAGTGGCTGCAGAAGAGAAAC